AGCCGCTGGAGGACCAGTCGAAGGGCCCAGAGCACATGACTGCGCCATCGTGCACGCCGCAGCCGAACCAGCCGAAGAACCACGAGCCGAAGATCCCGAAGAAGCCAGAGCAGCAGCGCCAGCAACCATCGAAGTTGACGCAGGGTGGAGCAACGGCCGAGATATCCGAGCTCGGCGATCATGAGATGAAGAACTTGGCTTTCTGGCTGAAATTTGATCGCTTCAGGGACTGAAGCTCTGCCCGTGCACGCAGTTGCCAAAAGTTCCACCACTGCGGTCGGGCAGCGTCATCACTTCTAACCAAGTACCCCAGCGCTATGAGATGGAGGAGGGCGGGTGGTGGTTCAAATCCTCATGGCACCCGCTCTGGCTGCACTGGTGGAACTTTAATTCATTTTCTTATTCGTGGGAAGCCAACGCAATGCACTCGCAGTGGACGGGGTGCACGTTGACGGGAAGTCAAGCCTCATGCTGTGCTTGTGAATTTCACATCATCATCATCGTCACCATCATCACCAACATCACTAACATCACCTCTATAATCATCATCCGCATCATCACCATCACCATCAGCATCATCATCATCGTCATCATCTCCAACCCGTTCACCACCATGTGTAACCGTACTCGGTTTTAAGTTGCCAGGGCAGCTGCATTTCGGAATGATGACGTGCTTACGCATAAAATTTCTGAGGTTGTCCGAATCACTGTGGCCCTGGACTGTGTCGAATGGAGGCTTGAAGATGTGCGCCTGACTGGCAGAGTGAGAGGGCGGACATATGACGAGGGACGGAGGAATCGGGGGAAGAATACGAAGAGCGACGTTGGCATAAGATGATGGACTGACTAGGGAAAAAGGAGGGGGGATAGGGGCAATGACCGAGGGAGGCAAGAGGGCTGAGGAGCCAGGGGGGGAGTGAGGATGAAGCAACCTCCCGTCAGACGGGGCCCCCTCCCGCCACCGCGCCAGGACGTCTGCCAGTGGCTCATGGAGACCCCCGCCGCGGTCAAGCGCACCGCGAAGGAGAACGTGCATGATGACGACACCACGCCGCCCAAGAACGGCGCCAAGGACCCGTCCCGTCTACTTGCCATGGCCAAGATGGCCGACCAGATGCCGACGAGGAAGGCGCGGGGCATGTTCTGTGAAATGGGATGTTGTGGTTATCTGTGTCTGCTTGTTCGGTCGTGGGCCCAGCTCAAGTGTGCTGCTGGTTCGTTCGGAAAGCGTAGGGCGGCGAGCTGATGTGTGCATTGACTGATTGGATTGGCCGACGGGCGCTCCAGATTGGGTTAGTTGCGCCCGTGGGACCCCAGCTCATTCGGAGGCCGCTTCAGATTCGACCGAAGATGCAGACCAGTAATGGGATAGCAGAGGTGGGGAGGGCGGTGATGATGAGACTGATAATGCTGAGTGTGGTGGTGATTATGAAGCTGATGATGATGATGATGATGATGACGATGTTGATGACGATGATACTGATGATGGTGATGATGATGCTGACGATGATTATGATGATGGTGGTGATGATGCTGAGGAGGATATTGAGGAGGGGGGGACGAATGGGGGGGAGCAGCTGCGGCGCCTCGCCCCCAACCCGCCGCTGTTGCTGAGAGGCCGCCGTCCAGAAGCTGAAGAAGGAGAAGGCCACCACCCAGAAGGAGACGGCCACCATCCAGAAGGAGAAGGTCACCATCCAGATGACGAGGAAGGAGAAGGCCGTCATCCAGAAGACGCTCAAGCAGAAGGCCACCATCCAGAAGACGCCCACTGAGAAGGTCACCATCCAGAAGACGCCCAAGAAAGCCACCTCCAAGACGTTGATCGAGGAGACTGGTGCCGTGGACAGCGAGCCCCTGGTCAGGAGCTGGAAGCACCCGATCATGGGTGACATCGTTGCTGTGTACGGGACTCACAAGAGTTACTCTCTGGTTTTCGATGATGAGCAGAAGCGCCGTCTTTTCGTAGAGTGCAGCGCGTCGCATACCCCGAAGCACGCTGAGCTTCTCATGAGCATAATGAAGCAGTCTTGCTCTAAGAAGCTGAGCAAGAGCTCCACTGTGCTGCTCCGTGCCCAGATGCTGGCAGCCGATCGGGATTGATCTAGCTGTCGCAGTTTTCGAGTGTACATTATATGTGATGTCAGCGTCTTTGCAGCGACGTGGCATGATATGTGTCGCGACTGGGGGCTGCACAGGGATGCACGCTGCAGGATCGACAGGCACTGCGATTCGATTGCGAGTTGTCTGTAATGTGCACGTTTGGTTTCTTTTTGCAGGTACTTATGCGACTCTCAGAGTCTGAACATGCTTTGCCTGAAGAGCAGGAGCGCTCTCGATATGGATGTGGCGTGTACCACGATGCGCTCGGACTCACCGGCCGATGTCGAACAAGTCTCAGGATCGTCGAACTGAGCCAGGATCTCCGATGTGCACCTTGCTAGCCTCAGGGTCGAGGAAATACGCGTTTCAGATTTCGTTTGGACATGACAGTCGGGGCGCTGAATACGGGACACATTTCGTTGGGGGGGTGATTGGTGTCCCTCGAGTGCGTCACATCCTCCTTAAGGTTGTCAATAAGCTTTCGATTGAACGCCGAAGTTTAACGCGTGGGAAAGGGGCTCCCGTTCCTGATTTAGGGTTCCTTAGGTCAGCGCCCCGACTGCAGGAGATACGGAGAGCAAGGTGACGTCGATCGGTTTGGTAACCCGTGAATCCTGGTCATGCCACCCCCCCCATCACCCCCTCTAGAGAACTCTCGTTCCAAAACGCGGTGGCATCGCAATTCGTTCAACGTTCCTTTTCCGTGCTCATCATCGCCCCCCATACATTGGTCAGTCTCCCCTGATCTTCCTCGCAATCCTCCACATCGCCAGTGGACGCCCGCGGGGCCAGAAAGTCTAATGTCAACGCGCCAACCATGAGACAAGGTGGCGCCATATTGCAATTTTGGGTGGTCGAGTCACCAGGTGTCCACGTGCCGTAAATCGTAATGCATAACATATGCTGTCGCGGATCGAGAGGGGGAATTAATCTAAGGTTCAGGTGAGGCATCGAGCACAATACAAACGGTGGGCGTCAATTTACTATAGGAGCTCGGGCATCTCACTAACGATCGCCGAATAAAACAATATATACGGAGGGATCGCCCAGTCAGATCAACACGTGCAAGCATAGTTTCACGCGTGGGCGATACCTGCGCAATGCGTTATGTGGGTTGTGCGTGCGTACATGTGCGTGCACATGTGTCGCAAATGTTCAGAATTCAAATGTCTAAAACTCAGTTATGTGAACAATTAATCACCACGTATGTGCATCACATTTGCGAGTACAAAACACTGTGACAAACGTTTGTCAAACGTTTGTCAAACGTTTGTCAAACGTTTGTCACATATGACAAACGTTTGTCATTTTTGACAAACGTTTGTCGTTCGAGACAAACGTTTGACAAACGTTTGACAAACGTTTGGCAGACGTTTGTCGCTTAGCTTTTATATGTAAAATATAGGGTCAAACCTGGTGGCTAATTGTGTGTGAATCCGTGTAAATAAGCGCTCATGTGTTATCAATTGCATGGCCTGGCTATGCCCCAGCACACGCAATTAGGATTGTACTGTTAGGTGAATGCGGCACACGTGCACGTATTTGTATCACTGTGGCGTGAACCTCGCACGCATAACACTGCAACACAGTCCCTGAACACGCTCCAAAACTACCCCTGGCCAGCTTCAGTGGCGGTGTGTTCGAGTTGTTTTGGCTCCAGGCGGGGCCGCCGAGCAGATTCTCGATTCTACCCTCGGTGCGCTGGTCTATTCCACCATGCCTCCCAAGGGCTCGACACGGGGTGCTCCAGTGATCAAGGTACGTTTTGGGTTCCGTTGTGACCAGTTGGATGGTGCGGCAGGCGGTGCGAGCTGCCCCTTTTAAGGTTGCGATCTGACGCAGTGTTTTGGGCGCCGCGTCAGTTTGCAACCTGGAAAGGGGTTGCTCGCAACGGCTGCCGCGCACGTGAATTTGCATTTCGTGCACCCTCATTGTCAGGCCAACTTGAAGAAGGCCACCAAGACGCAGGCGCAACCGAAGAAGCGGGGCGTCGCGCAGTCGAAGCAGAAGGGCAAGAGCAAGGGCAAGGGCGAGCTCACATTGGCCGTGTACGGTGACAAGGGGACATCTGGATGTTATTAAAGCGGTTCGTAGAAGCACCTTGAATAGAGAGCGGAGAGTGCACGCGGTTTTGAGCAATGTTGTTGTTCCAGAGTTTGGTTCGATGTAGATGAGTTGGGCCACCCAGGCCTCGTCACAATAACAGCCGTTCCATGCGATGCCACGAAACCTCTCCGTCCAATAGTGCAGGTCGTTCCCCCCCCCCTTCTCGACGAATCCAATTTGTTGGACTGGGGGACTGGACGGGCATCGGCGGCCCCGATGCCCTGCGCGCTGAGTCGTGCGCGACTGCGTGCAGTGATTGTTCTTGGTAACTCTTCAGCCCGCCCGCCCTGTGCCCTGTCCACCTCTCCCTCCTCGTCGTCGCCGCATCGTGGTCATCCCGTCGTGCGCTCACATGCCAGATGACGTGAAACAAACACCCATCGAGCAGGAAATCCACCGCAGAGCTGGTCCGCAAGGCGGAGGGCAAGTCGTTCAACGAGAAGAAGGAGCTCTTCAGGCTTGCGTTTTGAATGTTCGCACCGTCGCGAGAGCGAGCGCGCGCTTGTGATCGGGCCAAACGTGGGGACGATATCAGGGGCAAATATAATGACGTGGGTACTTAGCAGGCCGACGCGAACGAGGATGCGATGACTGCGATGCTTGCGATCGTCTTCGCCACCCTGTTGACGCCGTGGGACATCAACAGGGTGGCGAAGACGATGCCAAACACAGGTGCCGATTAAACGAAGTCGGACGTATCCCCATCGTTCTCGTCGCCGTCCATTTTAGCCCGACCGCAAGCGCGCGCTCGCGTGCGCTTGCGACGGTGCAGCATCCAAACATCTTGCCAGGCAGTATGGCGACGGGATGGATCCGACCCAGCTGCGCGCCATCTTTACAGCCGAGGAGGTGAAGCTCCTGCACAACCAGTTCAGGACGGCCCGCAAAGGCAACGATCGTGTCTCCACGGCCTTCGAGGAGGCCGACAAGTTGGGAGTGCGGGAGGGGAAGAACAAGGCGAAGCTCGGGTACGTGATTGCATGGCTCAAGGATGCATCCGGTGTTTGTTTGTAGTTTCCTTCCTGCCCTACCCATATCAACATCATCCATGCAATTATTACGCACAGCATAAGTCGGCAAGTTGCGTGGGTCGTCCCATCCAACCATCTATCTGTCACACCTCGCACGCCCGTCCAGCTGCCCCACCGAACCCGCTCATCCAGCCGACTCTATCGATGTCTGCCTCAGGCGCATCCCTAAACCACCCGCCACCACATCTGGCCAATTGCATCTACTTACCCAACCTCGCTTACTCTACGTCGGCCAATACCGCGCCACGACATGCTCGCCTACCAAGCCAAGTGCAATCGGTTTCCATGTCCAGGGGCATCCGTGCACACTCGCACGTAGCGTCGTAGTTGAACATCCCCTTGACGCGCAGTTGTGTCCTTCCCCTGCACGCCCCCCTCCTCTTCCTGGCCCGCGGATGAACGCGACCCCGACTGCTAAACCCTCGGAACCGAAACATCTTGACAGCTCTAGCGGCTGCCCCCTGGGCGTCCCAGCACGTCCCCATCCCTCTCTCTCCCCGCCCCCAGATGAATGGGCACGAGGGCCCTGGCAGATCTAGACCCGCGCGTGATCTCCGAAGCGCTCAGGATAAACATCGCAGCTCTGCAGGACCCCTCGATGCAGGAGGCCTTCTGGGAGCTCTCGGTCAGCACCACGACCAGCGAGGGCATCAAGCGCAAGTCGGTCTGGAAGCCGTGGAAGCAGATGCTGGACAAATACGGCGAGGAGGAGGCGGAGGAGCGGCTGGAGGCTGGATCCATCAAGGTTGCACTGGATGCCAACTAACAAGGAGTTGCCAAACGAGGGGGGGGGGGGGGATGGGGGGGGCAAGGCGGAGGAGGATGGGCCACCTTCCACCCAGCATCGTTCTAACGCACCCCCTCCTTCCATCGAGAGGGCGGTGCCATTTCCCGTTGGAGAGTAGCGCGGGCCGGGTGCGGCCCAGGCAATCCCGAGAGGGATCAGCGATGAAGGGGTGGGAACAGAGAGTGAGAAAAAGGGGGGGATGAGGGGGGGAGGAAGAAGAGGAGGGACAATTCGGAGGAGGATGGACCACCTTCCTCCTCCAAATCCTTTCCGTCAATCCCACCATCCTTCAATTTGGACGGGTTGGATTTCTCGTTGACCAACAGCCCAGGCCCCAGGATGAACCAGTAACGAGGGGGGCGCAGAGGAGGAGGAGGAAGACGACGAGGAGGAGGAGAGGCAAGAAGGATGCGGATGGACCACCTTTCTCTTCCCATCCTGTTTGGCAGCCCCCCTCCTCATTCCACCCTGAGGAGGGGGAATTCTCGCTGGTCTGCAGCCCAGGTCAGGCGCGACCCAGCCCATCCCAAGAGGAGGCAATACCTTGACGTGGAGGACGAGCACGAGAAATCGTTCAGGCGCGACAAGGTCGGCACCGCGCGCGGCAGGAAGGCCATTGACAACGACGAGTTCCAAAACCTGTCGTCTGGTCTGGGGTCCGCCGAGATGGTCGAGGACATCCGCAGAGGATTGACTTGTTTAGTAGTTTCAGAATGCTCAGCGAGAGGCATGGCAACTGGTAGTGTCTGGCAGTGCCTGTGGTAGTGTGACGAGCCCCACTGCAGCTGGCGGTGTCAGAGGTGCATGGAGAGGAGGGGCCAGCGCGATGCGTTGCTAGTAGCTGTTGGTCATGCACTGCCAGTTGCAGCGGGGCTCTTGCTGCCACGCGTGCGCGAAGCGGGTAGGGGGTGTCGGGCATTGTGTATGTATGTGTATATATACACAAAAGTACCTACATCTACGGCACATGTGTTTACACACATGCTGTGTGTTGTCTGTGGGTGGTGGTTGCACGCATGTGCACTGTGCTGCATATGCACAGGTAGAAGTACATGCGCACACGTGCAAAGATATTGGGGAGCGACAGCCCGATCTGAAACAGAGAGGGAGAGCTATGGCTACTACTTATATGTATACACATAGACATGTAAACATGATTGCATGTATGCGTGTATTTAGGTGCAGGTGTACATGTATTCGTGCACACGGGGGGCGGAGGGCGATAGAGAGAGAGAGGGGGGAGAGATAGAGAGAGAGAGAGAGAGAGAGAGAGAGAGAGAGAGAGAGAGAGAGAACACGAGGGGTGGTCAAACGAGAAAGAGAGAGAGAGCACGAGAGAGGGCAAGATGGGAGAGCATTGAGAAGACCGCGACAAAGCTTAGCGTTGACGGCGGCGTAGTTGTGTTGTTTTGCTGCTGGGCTGGGTGAACTGGCCGCCGATCGTTCGCAGACCCATCGGTCCATGGTAACCATGGTGCGCCATGTGGCACCACCTGGCAGGATTGCGTCAGGAGCTACGTTGCTGCTTGGACCGATGGCGACATATACAACATCTAGAGGCGATTTCCAGAACATGGGCTACGAGAGCAACGACGAGCAGGATGATGAGCCCGAGGAGACAGGCAGTCAGAATCGCGGCCGCGGTCGTGGTCGCGGTCGCGGAGCTGCAGCGAAGCCGAAGGCGCGGGTGGTTGCTTCCCACCGTCGCTGTCATCATCTGTCTCCACCTCCGCATCCTCCGATTATTTCCTCCTGCTCCTCCGACTCGCCCCAACCCGCTTCCTCGCCCCCACCTCCTCGCACTCTCAACTCCTCCGCGCCACCGCGCGTGAACCCACGCGCCCCACTCTTCGTCCTGCCCCCCCCCGTCGCCCCGCGCATCCTCCCACCCGCCATGCTGCCATCGCCCGCCGCCCTCCCTCCAACGCGTGTGTTCGTCCTGCTTCCTGCGCGCCCGCCCCCGCGTACCCCCTCCACCTCCCCCCCACTTGTTCGCCCCCTCCTTCACTGGGTTGGGCCTTCTGGACGGGCCACGGAGCTGTTTGCCACCGCTTGTCAGCGAGGCCAAGTCGGTCAAGATCTCCGACTGGCAGGACGTGCTTGCGATGGGCAAGCCGCAGATGATGAACAACCAGGTCGCCGTCGAGACCATGTCGAACATGTACCTCGCCTCGACGGCGCCCTGGCAATTGCAAACATGTCGCATCCTGGCTGGCCGTCGTTCAGGACATGCGCGTGTCCGTGGATGGTTGTTGTTCGCATGCGGTCTAAGCTGACCGTCGCGCGCCTCCTCGGGATTCCCGCCACGCATGCAACGCGTGCCCTCGTCGCCCATTTCGGCATTCCCCACGTGGCCGCCACGTGCTGCTCCGCGTTCTTTTGTTTTCCCAGCGTTTCGCTTAGGGGGTCTACTACATATTTGGCGTACCCCAATGGCGCGTCCTTCGGATCTACGAAACAAAGTGTGGAATACACCGCAGTTGTGAGGACCAGCAGATTTAATTTTTGTAGTTTCGAAGGGCGCGCCAATTTCGGTGCGCATCAATTACGTAGTCGATCCCCTCACTCGAGCTTTCACGTGGGCGCGCCCTCTCGCTCGCAGTGCGTTTCGCCTTCGCCCCTTGCCCAGGGCCTCGTGGAGAAGCTCCAGCAGGACATCAAGAAGGCTGCGAACAAGGTCAAGAAGGACCAGCTCGAGAAGGCCAAGAAGGCGCCAGTGCACCCTTGTCCTCCTCTGCCTCCCCCCTCCCTTCCATCGTTCAGACGAGCCCCCCCCCACCCCCCACCCCCCGCTCCCTCCAACTCCGCCTCGCCCTCCACGAGAGTGCAGGCAGGCACGTGGATATGACATGGGCAAGTGGGGTGCGTACACCCATCCTCTACCCACTCCGCACCGCCCCCCGCGCCCCCTCACGCCAACCCCAACCAGTACATGCACGCGAGGGACACGCATATAAGTAGGAGCAAGCGTAGGACCAGCACCGGTCACGCACCCAACACCCTACACCCTAATCTCTAAACCCTACACCCTAAGCGTTATGCTATTAACCAGTTTGCGTCGGCCCTGCAATTCGCAATTCGACGTAGCCTAATGCTCGAGCAAAGGGATCACCCCATGAATTCTTGCGACCCCCTGGGGGTAGGAGCTCACGAACTGGGGACTGCCCGTGCCGATGCCAGGTGCTCGCGGACGTCCGCAAGAACCGCGACGTGCTCGGGGACTTGAAGACAGAGGAGAGCCCGTCGCTGGTGGGGACGCAGAAGGCCTGCAACAACATGTACAATGCGTTCGCTGCCGTGAAGCAGCTGAAGATAGTTTCGTAGATGGTTGCAGGGGGGGATCATATTCCTGCACGTGTGAGTCTCCGCCGCTTGAGGGGCGTCATACGGATCTGGGCACTGCTCGAAATTGATGTGATCACGACTGGGCAGTATGTGCAATACAATTGTATGTGTATGTGTAGATAGTTATACATGTATGGTGGTGTGTAAGCTCATATGTGCACATGCACATGTATATTGCATGCGTGTGTACGTATGTGTGTACTACATACACATACATACATGTTTACATGTACAGGTATAGGTACACCTATAGGTATGCATACATATGTATGTGTGTACGTTCGTATGTATTCATGGTTATGTGTCTGTCTGTCTGTCGCAGTGATCGCTAGCGAGCGATGGTTGTGTGTCTGTCTGTCTGTTAGGCGCTCGCAGTGAAAGCTCATGGTACTGCTCGTTGCGCAGATCCGTGCGCGCTTTGCCACTGAAATGTACGCGCATTCCAATTTCAAGTTAGCCTGGCGAACTGACTAGCAGCGAAGCTCATCGAGGCTCACTGGTTCCAGCGAGCGTTCGACGAGCGGTCATCGAAGCTCACTGTTTCCAGTGAGCGTTCGATGATCGCTCATCGAGGCTCATTGTTTCCAGCGAGCGTTCGATGAGCACGCGCAGTACCCTAGTGTGACAGCGATGCCAGGCTCACTGGTGCTCACTGTTTGCAGCGAGGCTCGATGACGTTCGCTGTGGCAGAGCTCGTGGAGGCAAACAACGATGCCATGAGTCTAGTTCAGGGCCCAGGAGAGGACACAAGTATTTGGTTCCAGCATCGGACCAAATTATATCTGGTTCCAGAATACATTCGGGTCATGTGCTCAGCTCGGATATATATTTTGCCACAAACGACGCGAACACGAGGCAGTACGGGGTGAGTGACTTTAGTTAAGTAGGACAAGGGTCACTAGTGCAAAGAAAGCATATGCGTTCAAGGGGGGATATGACACAGGATATGGGGTTACACGTTGGGCGCATAAGTGCGAGGCACGCGGTGCATTGAATAACGCTTCTGGCACGCGTGGGGGGAACACCCCTAAACAGCTTGTCACCTCCTGAGTCCTGGGGCCGTGCGGTGCCCTTCTGGGCCAGTCGGGGCGTTGGCTTCGGGGTCTTCTGGTACTGTGGCATAGCAGTGGCAGTTAGGTTTAGAATGAGGGTGCAACACTGTGGAGAGAGCTCACCACCAAATATTCCTTCCAAGGAACCCGTTCAGGTAATCCTTCCAGATCGTCCCGCATCCCCCCATATTGTCCTCCTCCTCCCCATTCCTCCCCCTCTTTCTCCCCCTCGACCCTCCTTCCTGGAAACAACGGTCAGGGTCACGGGGCGCGAGGCTACTAAGGAAACTACGGCTAAAGCAACGACGCAGACACATAGGCTCTCGTATTCATACGTAGCCATTTCCCTCGGTTCAACTGCGCCAGCAATCGCGACCTACTCCCCAGGAGGTTACCGACGCCAGTGCAGTGTACCAGCCATGGCATCATCATCGATCATGAGTGGCGAGATCGCTCTGATCACGACTAACAGCTTTGCCGGCGAGATGGAAACGCAGGCCATCAAGATCACGGAGGCGATCAAGGCGATGCACGCCCAGAAGGCGAAAGTCACCAAGGCCATCGTTCACACCAAGCACGTGGCGCTCAGCCCTGGCAGCTCAGAGGAGCAGCGAACGGCCAACTTGCTCACCCTGCACTACCGCGACTCGAGGATCGACCTGGTCACAATGGAGCTGCAGAAGATCAAGGGCCTCTTGCTCGACAACTCCAGCGTGAAGATGGGCACCGCGGAGGAGAAGACCGCAACGCAGTGCGATTCGCTCAGCAAGATTGTGCAGCTCACCCAGCAGTACGACAAGCAGCTCACGAAGCAGAGCATCGAGCATGGTGGCCAGCTGCCGTGGGATGCAAATGACGAGGACACGTGGGTGCAGTACGGTTGGCAGCGAAAGGACGACTCTAAGTGGATCTCGCCAACTGTCTGGAACGCGTTCGACGTCAATGATCCCGCTACGTGGGTGCCCTTCGGCTGGACCGACTACAGCGCCACCTCCGACGCGGATGATCCGATTGAAGTGTTCGAAGTCATCGAGCGTGCCGATGTCGAGTCCAAGTGAGTTCAGTCAGTGCAGCCAGTCAGCCAGCCAGTGCAGCCAGCCAGCCAGTTTGTTTTCACTGCGCAGCCAGTGTACGGCGTCCGCGCGCAGCCCGAGACGCCAGGAGATTTGGCTGCTGCACTTCCCAACGCTCCCGACCTGCGATCGCGGGAGTGCGCTTGCGCACCCGCATTCACATGCCAGGAGGGACGGGTGGAAGCGTAATTAGCCACTC